ATTGAGTAATAAACATGTTCTATGTTATACATTTTATATGGCTCCATTTTAAGTAGTAAAAGTAACTTAATTAAGTTTAAATCCAATTTTGATTAGAGTTTCCAATTTACCACTGTTAATAAAGAACAAACATTAATACTGAACTAATTTTTCAGCATTCCATGCGAGGGGAAGCACTAAAGCATAATGGTCTGAATGCTAAAATGGAATCTCAGGATCACTGTAGTGGTAGGCCCCTGGAGACAATTATTTAACCTATAGTCCTTATTTTACTCATCTGAAAACAGGTATAATACCTATATAATGGACTTTTTGTGAAGACTTAACAAAACAATATAGTACCTAGCAGAGGATGTCATTAATGTTAATTTCTTTCACAAAGTTTATGTTATGCACTGAATGTTTAAGTGACCCCCCCCCAAATTTCTAAGCCAAGATTCTAATCTCCCAGAGAGTTCCGGATGTGAACCTCTAGGAGGTAATTAGATTTAGATTAGGTCCTGCAGGTGTGCATTCATAATGAGATTTGTGCCATTACAAGAGGAAAAGAAAAACAGCTCTCCCTCTCTATCATTCCTCCCCTTCACCTATAGGCACCAGAGGAAAGTCCAGGAGACCCATATTAGGAAGGCAGCCCTCTACAAAGCAGGAAACAGGCCTTCACCAAAACTCTAAATTGGCACCCCCATATCAAACTTCTAGATTCCAAATCTGTGAGAAAATATGTTTGTTTTTTAAGCCAACCCACTGTATGGTATCTTGTTATGGCAGCTTGAGTATACTAAGTTAGGTTATTTTAAAATGTATTTTTAAAAAGAGACTTTGGAAAGCAAGATAATTTTCATGTCCTCCCAATATACTTTGGATCTACAAATCTACCTTCTCAAATACAGTATCCACTACCATTAGTTACTGCAGAACACAATAACAACATTATTTGATTTACTGGTAGATGTCTATTGATTTTCCAAGTTGGCCAACAGGGAGAGAAAATAGGGTAGGAACAGAAAGCTACACTCAATACATTTTTCTGGCCCTTGGCAATTCTTCTTTCCAGGTCAATATTTCGCAGACATCAAAAGTAAACACCAACTAACTATACTGTAAGCAAAATAATGACAAAGAATCCACTAATGACAATAAGAATTCTTGAAAGTCAGTCTAGGGCTGGGGCTGTACCTCAGTGGCAGAGAACTTGCCTAGCATGCACCAGGCACTGCGCTCAATCCTCAGCACCAAATAAAAATAAGCAAATAAAATAAAGGCATTCTGTCCATCTACAATTACAAAAAAAATTTTTTTTTAAAAAAGTCTAGGGGCTGGGGTTGAGGCTCAGAGGCAAAGCACTGGCCTACCATGCATGAGGCACTGGGTTCGATCCTCAGCACCACATAAAAATAAACAAGATATTGTGTTCACCTATAACTAAAAAATAAATATATTTTTTTAAAGTCAGTCTAATCCCTTCTTCCTCTCCACTAGTTCAAAGAAAATGGCAACATTACAGGTTGAATGCTAGTGAACTGTACCAAGTTTTCTGGTGTAAGCAGTTTTTTACTTCATGAATGCTATCTAAAGCACAATTTAAATGCCATAAATTGTTGCTTATGTTCAACATTTAAAATGCAAAATGCCACGATTATTTTATAAAATGGATTCTAAATAACTATTTCCTATTTAAAAGGTTAAGCTGAAATTGCTCACTTAAAATTCAAAAGAACCTAAAATTATTCTTCTTTTCCTTGTAGAAAAGGAGTGAAGGAGTGAGAATTTATGAAGTAGATGATTAAAAAAAAACAAACCAACCAACCCAAGTTGGATTTAACATGTAACAGCTTTTTCCCCCAATGAAGCAACAATTTCATTAAATAATTATCACAATGAAAGTATAAAAGCTATGTAGAAGAATGCCAGGACATGATGCTATAATTTTATAAAGACTAGGAAATAACAATAAATATTTAAAATATAACATCTTATAAATATTCAGCATTAATAGATAATAACAAAATGGGCAAAATATAGTGTGCACAGATAACTTTTCTAATATTAAGAGACATCATTGTCTTCACTTTTGAATAACTTCCTCAGTTGCCATTATAACTTCTACTGTTCACAATAAAATATTTGTGCTGTTTTTTTCAGTTAGCACTACCTTCATCAATGAAGAGAATGAAGGCAGATATTATTACTGAAAAACACAAGCCTTGACAGAGCAAAGCCAATGATTTTATACTAGCTCTTGCCACCAAAATTCTAGGATGAAACCAGTATCTGAAAATTAAATGTACCAACAGACATACATAAAAATCTGCTTAGTCAATACAGCTATCCCTGTGCTACAAAGTAAAAGAATTTATATTTTCTATATTTTATGAAACTATGACTTATGAGAAAGAGATCACATATATGGAGGTATCACAGACATTGAATCAATTCTTCTAAGTTCATCTTTCCTTACTATGTATCTCTTTTCTTTTGTCTTTCTGGTAAACAGAACACATATGACAGTCTACATTATTTTAAATAGCCAACACTGACAGTTACTTTGTTTGGCCTGAACCAAGGATGAGAATAAATTATACACTTATAAAAGCTTATTTTAGTCATAGGCAAATTAAGATATTAACAATGCTTTAATTTTACGTTTACTTTTTTCCTAATTATAAAAGTAATGTGAAAATTTATAAAAATACAGAGGAAAAAAATGAACTGCCAATAACTTCTACCATCCAGAAACTTTCCTTGTCTTTTTGGTATATTTCCTCCCAGTGATGTAAATTTTGATTATCTAACCAAGCCCTAATAAACATGAAGAAAAAAATTAATGAACCCTTATTATGGCCTTTCACTATATTATTTAAAAAACATATCATTCATGATTATGAATATAAGTAGTTAATTTCACAAATGTCTCTAAAACAGACCGAGTAGGGTGTGTAGGGAGTCCCACAATTCAGAGACAGGACCCTAAACTAAAATCTCTTAATTTTTATAGTGTCAATACTTTAATGGAAGTAAGCAACAAGATCTGACTCTTCTTACAGTGATACCAACATTAATGTTCCTACATTAAACAGGCTTTACTTCAATAATATTTCCATTCATATGTCAATAATATTTTTATTTTCATTATTAAATAATCAAGTAATGAATTATACTTGCCTAATAATTTTAAACTCAAAGACTTATTTTTTTGAAGCACATCATTCAAACTTAGTGCTTCTGGCCTATAAGATGCTTTGCCAGGTAAAAGGATAACACCTATTATATTCCCAAATTCTCTCTCATGACGTTAAAAATTAAAAATAGAATATATCTTAAATATAGACACATTTCTTTTGTTGCAACCCATTTCTGATGCAAGCATGCAGATGCTAGAATTACAAAGACTGAAAAAAGACTTCATTAACAAAGCAACATCCCAACCTTAATTAAGTCAACTCAACAGACTCAAAACAAAACCAGTGATATTACTAATAGCACTTCTCTTTTCTGAAAATTTAATTTTCAGCCTTATTTCTAGCTTCAAAGGAGATTTTGGTTCAACTCAAGGGATCAGAAGTCTTAAAATCCCATTCATTTTCTTCTGTCCAATGTGTTAACAAAGTCGGTCTAAAACAAAGTAACTCGTATTTATTACTTTCATCTTGTTACACTAACCCTTTTTTATAAAGAAATCCTTCAACAAAGACCCCCCCCCCAAAAAAAATAAAATAAAATAAATAGATAAAGTTTGAGGAAAGAATTGTCCATCTTTAAGTCAAGCATTTCCTGATAAGTGACAGAAGGTCCGGCTGACTACACTTTGCTGAACCTAGAAATGGCCAAGACTCAAAACAAAATCTGATACTTCTGTGTCTAGAAAATTAATTTGGCTAAGAGGCAATAAAACATAATCAACGAGGTGTCTTCGGTGGACACATTAACATAAAAGAGAGGCGCCACGTATTTCAACTAAATGTTTTTTTTGTTGTTGTTGTTGTTTTTTTTTTTGCCATTTTTACAGAAGAAAAGCTAATTGTTAATGGCCATGTGACATTCTAGGTCCCAGAAAGGAAAGGGTGGGAGGAAGAGAGGAGTTCAAGGCAGTTCAGGGTCAGAACAAGCTCAGGCATCCTGTCATTAGCAAACGTTCCCCAAGCTGAAGGCAAAATACTGCTTACCCAAAAAAGGAGTGGGTGAAAAGTGGGGGGAGGAGAGAGGGAAACCACAAGAGAGTCAATGTGGCAGTGTGGGGGTGATGGGAGGGAGAGAAACCTGGAGCTATCCAGCTGAGTTGGGGAGCAAAAGAATCCGGCACAAAAACGCCGAGAAAAACGACTGCGACGAGACAACACTCGGCACCCCTCCACTGGTTCTTTGGGTTGCCCGCATTCCCTCCACCTCCGCTCTTGACCAACACTCAGGGGTGTGACCCGTCAGCAGGAGGCTGCCCAGATCTTTGTCTCGGCCCGCTCCCCACGCGAGGGCTCCTCCTCCCCCTCTTCCGCGCTCCCACCCGCGCACAGCCTCGTCTCCAAGGAGCTGGAAGCGCCGCGGCCACCGCCTCCTCGCCCACCTCCTGCGGACCCGCGCCCCTTCCTTCCCCGCCCGGGGGCGGCGGAGCAGCGCCACCCGCGCTTCCAGCTCCACCCCCGCCGAGGGGACCTTTGTGTCTCAGGGGACTTTCCGCCTCTTCCCCTCCTCCGCCTCGCGGGGACACCGGCCTCCCCTGGAGACCGAAGCCGCAGCAAGCACCGGAGGCGGCGGCCAGAGGCGCCTCCCGGGAAGGAGCCGGACAGACACCCACACCCACACCCTTCCCCACCCCCGGAAATGCCCGGGCGACCCGGGGGCCGTGCCCGACCCGACGGGTGACAGGCACGCGCGAGCCCCCTGCACCGCGCCGCCGCCCTCAACTTCCCGGCCGGGCCAGAGCCCACCGCGTCCCCGCCCGCCCCTCCTTCCCACGCACCCTCTAGGCCCCGGGGCAGCCGGGGGCAGCGCCGCCAACTCACCAGCAAGTGCGGGACCGCGTCCCGGGGCGAGGCGCGAAGGGAAAGCGGCTCCGCCGACGCCCGCGGCGACCGGATGCAGGTCCGGGTCCCAGCGGTCGGCAGCCCCGAGGCGCCTCCGCGGCGCAGGCCTCCGCCGCCGCCTTCCGGCTCTGGCAGAGGGAACGGAGCTCCGAGAGGGCCGGCAGCTGCTTCACGCGTCGCCAAGCCCCCCGGTCAACATGGCTCCCCGGCCGCCGAACCGCGCGGCCGGCCCACTAATCCCCTCCGAGAAGCCGCGGCGGGAGCGGAGCGAGCGGGAGGCGAGACGCCTGGCTGAGGCTGCCCGGCCGGGCGCGGGCTGCTTCTTCTCGGCTGTGGGGCTGGACGGCGGGGAGCTGAAGAGAACGCGGGCGGCCGCTTTCGCTCGCTGCGTGTGCGTCGCTTTCTCACTCGGCGGCTGCGGATTGACGCCTCCGCCTGTTCCCCGGAGGAGAGCGAGCGAGCGAGAAAAAAGACTTTTATTGAAACGATCCAACCAGCGGCGGCGGCGGAGAAAGGCGACCGGCCGCGGGAGCTTCCCCCACCCCCGCCAGGGCTGCTCGCCGGGGGCAGCGCGACCCCTGCCGGCGGCAGCGGTGGGGGCGGGGCGGCGAGCCGTGGGCGGGGCCTGCGGGGCGGGGTACCCCAGAAACCCGCGCCCGGAGCCCAGGGCCTCATTTTTCCCCCCTCGCTTCTGGAACAGCCAGGGGCGCGAGGAGACCCTTCGCGGGCGAGAAGGCCAGGCAGTGCCCGCCACAGCGACTGCGGAAGAAATTCTCCCAGTAATTCAGCTCCTTCATCTTTCCGCCATCCCCAAACAAAACCAAAAACTCTTTGCTTCAATTATCCAAGTAATTACTGTGCAAAGGATCAGTGCCACTGTTCTCTACTGGCTTTCTAGAGTTAATGTCACGGGACCCACACTGAAGCCTGTTGACCGCTGCAACTTTTCTCCTGCGTTGGGTGTGAATGGATACTGAGGCGACTGTCATTCACCTATCCATGCTGTTGAAGCATCTATTGGCATGTTACAATGTTTTTATATATTATATTCTTGGAAATATGCTAAGTCGCCAAAGGACTGAGGATCTAGCTGGGATGAAAGACAATCAACAATTTCAATGAAAGCCTGAGAGTTGAGAGAGGGGAAATACTAGGTGCTGTGAGAACTTAAGGACTACTGTTGCAGTTAGGTTTTGTTTTCCAGGGGGAGGCGGGCTGCAAGAGGTTGGCCCAGTTTCTGTAAATGTTTTTACTTTCTTCTTTCCCAGAGGCTAGAAGCTAGTTTAGGAATGAACAGCAGAGTGAAAGTGAAGACAAACTAAAGTAATACTGAGCCAGTTTTTTCCACAAATAAGGATAAAAGCATAAAGTAAAAACAAACCCCTAGAGGGGGATAATGAGAATATTGAAAGAAGAGAATAGGGACCGGATGTAGACAACCTAAACAAGGAAAAAAAAAAAAAAACACTTAACCACATAAAAGGCCTGTGAAGTCAGATAGAATTTTTTTTTTTTTCATTTTAACACCTGGAAGAACACAATATCATTTTTTTTAAATGCAATTTCAGATCACATATCTTAGGGACTTCTGACAGTTTTCTTCTTAGATTCCACCTGCTGACTTCTTTCACATATTTTACTGGGCAAAGTTGACTTTATCTAATATCCAACAATCATGCATGTCAATCAGACTTCTCTGCTAAAAATTACCAGGACACAAATTAGCCACAATTGTGTTCCACACATATTTAAAACTTGTGCACCATATAAGAATGCAAATATGTATGATAAGATTTTTTTTTAGAACAAGTGTGCCTTTTTATTTTTTTAATTAGTTAATTTATTTAGCTTTTTGTTTGTTCGTTTGTTCCCAGGATTGAACTCAGGGCCCTTAACCACTGAGCCACATCCCCAGGCCTTTTTTATAATTTGAGACAGGGTCTGCTAGATTGCTCAGGGCCTTGCCAAGTTGCTGAGGTTGGCTGTGAACCTGGGATCCTCCTGCCTCAGTTTCCAAGCCACATCGATTACAGGTAAGCACCGTTTTAAAAAGCACCGTTAATGATGCTTTTAAGGTTTGTACAGGTAAAAGAACTTGATAATGTAGCAAAAAAGTAGCAGAGTTCTTTTTAAGTTTGGAAGAAAAAATGATATGGATACAAGAGTTGCTTTTCCAAGTGATTTTACATGTTGCCATTCAAAAACTAACTATGCTTTGTGGGGCAGGGTTGGGAGGGGGTCTCTTAGTAAATATTCAAAATCACCACAGAGTCTACAAAATTGCATCCTAAGTTTCAACATCAAGAATTGCCCTTCATATCTTTCAATTGGAATGATTAGAAGTAAAAAGATGTTTCAAATGGCCTTATCCAAAGCTGCTAAAACATTATCTCCTCTTCCTACGGTGCACCATAATAAAGATTTGATTATTAGGACCTAGATGATTGTTTTATTGATCTATTTTTTCTTTTAACCAAAAAAAATTTTTTTTTTTACTAACTGAATATTATGTACCCAGGCACTATACTAGCTGTTGAAGACTTACAAGTGAAAATATAGATAAGGTATGGCCTTTAGGTATTCTAGTGGTAGAACAAGCAATAAGCATGTATATTAAGGAATTTATAAAATCATTTATAATTTTGAGAGGTGTTATGAAGAAAATGAAACAAATGGGGGGGGGGAGACAGTTTAGCAGGGATATTTTAGGTGTTAAGGTCAGGAAAGGCTAAAGCCTTGGATTCTTTCTTTGTATTATTTAGCCAATTATTTGATCAAGAAAAGGTCAAAGGACAATCAAAACAATGGATGAGGACATTTACATACTGATTTTTCTTAATTGATTTTAAATTTACTCATATTCAACATATTAGTTGACCTCCCTAGGTTATATAATATAGGGTTTTTTAATAATTTAATATCATTAAATTATTAGAGTATTTCCTAAACTGTGATTAATACATACTCCTTAGTACTTAGCGGAGGAGAACCGTTTAGGAAGAATTCCAAGTTCAGATCCATCTTGGAAATGCCATATACATCATCTCCCTTCTGGAAAGTCATAATGTTCTGAGAAGTTCTTAGATTAAAAATAATTTTCTTTTCAGTGGAACCAGTATATCCCAAAATGTTTTTCCTTAGAGTAACAATATTGTAGGACATATGTTGAAAATACTAGAGAGAGAATTTGAAGGTCATTGAACTTCGGACAGATAGAGTAAAGGGGGATGAATCCACAAAGTCTGTTGTGATTCACACTTTGAGTGTGACATTGCCTAGGAAACAAATGTGAAACATACTCAGATGAGATATGAAAAAGAAACGTGGGTTTTCAGTTCCTGTACCTGAGTGGTTCTCAAACTGTGGATCCTGAGCCAGTAACAGCAATTTTACCAGGGAATTCTTAGAAACGCTAATTCTCAGGTCCTACTCCAGAACAACTAAATCAGAAACTCTGAGAATGGGTGTAGCAACCTCTGTTTTACCAAGTCCTCGAGGATTCTCCTACACAATAAAGTTTGAGAATCTCTGCTCTATAGAACATCAACATAATTTTGACTATTTACAAAACAATTTTCTAGACGTCTGAATTTTGGCACCATCTTTAATCAAGCTAAGGGCAGCAATCAGCTATTACTCCCTAGTATCACTTGAGCAAAATAATTTTACATTTGGTGAAAATGAAACTATAGGTGAGAAAAGACTATTGTTGAAGGCTTCTGTTTAAACTAATTTGAAAACAAAACTTTATTTTAAAAAAATATTTCCTACTATCCGAACACCTGCAAAACAGCTGTGTACCCTTGCATAATGACAAAAGAATAGATTACCCCTAAACGTTTAACTGTAGAGACTTTACCAACCCAGATTTACTTTACATCATTATCAGAACAGCTCCACAGACTTACAAGTTACAAATTTGGAGAGAGAAATTTCTTCCATGTTTACATGTAAATTTTCAAATTTGGAGCACTATCTAACTTTAGAGGATTAATAACACAAGAGACACTTGATCCAGGCCACAGAGCATTACATAAAGCTTTCAGGACAGTGATGTCATATATCTTTACGACGAAAATGAATCCAGGAACCAAACTCAGTGTAGGCAGTTAAAGAAGACATAATTTTCAAACATCTTGTTTGAAAACAAAATTATTCTCTGGTTGCTAACAAAATGCTAGGGGAGTGTTGGTCTTCAGCCTTCCACTAAGTCTCCATATAAGGCTGCATTAAGCCTTAATGGAAGGATTAGGGTTTTGGTTGTTTGAGGGTTTTGGAGAGTCTTGTGTTTGTTTTTGTGGTTGTTGTTGTTGTTGTTTTTGTTTGTTTGTTTTTTGGTTTTTTTTTTTATCCTTTCATCCTTGACTTCTTTCCTTCCTTTCCTCCTTCCTTTCTTCCTTCCTTCCTGCCTGCCTTTCTGCTCTTAACTAGATTAATGTTATATCTACTCAGAAAAAACAGAGGTGGGCTTGTAACAAAATAAACTATACTTAAAAGTTATTTTGAGCTTCTTAAAAAAATGAAGATCCTCATGAAACCAGCTTTAAGACATAACAAATTCCTCCCTTTTTAAAAGAAAATGTTGTTGAGCCACATGTAGTGGCACACACCAATAATCCCAGAGATTCAGGAGGCTGAGGGAGGAGGATGACAGGTTTGAGTCCAGCCTGGTCAATTTCTGTCTCAAAAAAAAAAATTAAAAGGGCTAAGGATGTAGGTCAGTGGTAGAGTGCCCCTGGGTTCAATCCCCAGTACTAGAGAACAAAAGAAAAAGAAAACATTGTTGAAAACTGAAAGCTAGGGCAATATAGGTTTTTCCTGTTAGATGTGTTAAGGAAGACATGGTAATTGGTCATTTTCCCAGGGGAAAATGATCAATGACCATTGATCTTGTCTTCATTCTTTTAAAGAATGAAAGGGAGGGAGTATCAGTGGCCTATGGTTTGTCATCCCTAAATTTTTTTCAGTGGTTTGCTTTTAGGTCAGCTAATCAGACAGATTTGTAGTCTTTTAATCTTTCATTATTAGTCAGAAGAACAAGTTTTTAGTAAACTAACTTTGCCTTGCCCAAGCCAATGTTGACACCTAGGAATATTTTAGAATTAATGTGACTTATGATGAGGAGACAAGAGCAAATATTTGTCATGTAGACATTGTAAAATGGAAAAATAAAAAAGAGAAAGAGGGGAAAGAAGAAAGAAAGTCAAGAAGAAGAGAGTTAAGCCTTATACATATAATTTTATTTCAGTAGTAAGGAAGCTGCAAATATTAATAGTTTTATAGTTAATTTAATAGAAACTACAAAAAAAAAAACATGAAGCTAAGTGGGTGAGAGTTCTAGCCCTGAAGCAATATTACACAGTAGGTGGACTTTGTGATCAATTGGATTGGATAGAAATTCTAGCTTTGCTACTGTGACATGTTGGTAGGTTACTTAACTAAGAGTTTCTCCATATATAAACTTGGTATAATAACATAT